CCTGGGGCCTTGAGCAGGACGACGCCCCTCACTGCTCCTCCTGAGACCCTTCGTGTCCCCACAGGAGCCGCGTCTCAGGATGCAGTGGACTGAGAGGGCCCTGACTAGTGCCTGTGGGTGCCACTCAGCCACTTGCCCGGCTGCAGCCCTCAGCTCCCGTGGGCTGGCTGTGGGCTCAGGCTGAGCTGACACGGCTGGGAGGTGTCAGCCCTTGGCCTGGCCTTGGCACGGCTCTGCTAGAGCAGGGAGAGGCCAGCAGCCCAGATTTCAGGGCCAGAGGGAGGGCCACGCTGTGACGGAGAACAGGGAGTAACCTGGAGGCCCCGGGCAGGGATCCACAGCAAATGCCTCCTCCAGGACAGATGTGTCCCCTGTGGGTTGGCAGGGGTGCCCAGCAAGAGCAGCAGCTCCTCGGGGCATGGAGACCCTGCAGGCCAAGTGAGCCCCTTGGAATAGAAGGAGCCTCTTCTGGCTCAGCTCTGCAGGCGGAGAGGGGAGGCAGGGCCTGCTTCTGGTGGGGAGGCGCCTTGCCGTGGGAGGTCTCCCTCAGGGGGCAGAAGAGCCAGGGCACACAGCCAGGAGCAGAGAGCAAACCCCAGCCCAGGTGAACCCCAGGTGTGGGGTGGGTGGATAGCACGTGACTTTGACCACGAGTGGACAGGTGAGGGGCGGACAGGTGTGAGCAGGTGAGGGGACATGTGGAGCGCATGGAAGGTGGTGGTGACAGGGACAGCAGAAGAGGCAGTGGGGCTCGTGGGGCAGGTGCAGGCGGCTGGAGAGGGCGGAGGTGGATAGGGCCAGGTGTGAGCAGGTACAGGGCGGGTGGGGGACAGGTAGAAGGGGCTGGGGTTGGTGTGGGCAGGTGCGGGGCAGTGCCAGGGAGGTACTGCCGGGTGAGTGTGGGGCTGGGCAGAGGCTGGCCTGGGACCCCAGGCTCTGCTCGGAACCTACTCTCCGGGTAAGCAGCTGGGCCCTGCTAGGTGTGATCACCCACTACACAGAGTGGTGGGGGCTGGAGCTCCAGACACCTGCAGGGGCTGGGCGTGCTGTGGTGAGGCTGGCTCCTCCCACCCTCTGTCCCACCAGCATCCATAGCCCTGGCTGGCCCCTCCTTGAGTGGCCCCCGCCCCCCTGCTGGAGCCAGCTTGTGTCAAGGACCTGGAGAGTGCGTGGCGAGCCCTCCACGGTGGGGTCCTGCTGCCACTGAGCAACGGGGTCAGCAGCTGGTTTAAAAAGAACGGGCAGCAGCAGGCCGCCCTGGAGGAGCCGGCACACCCATGCCCTGCGTGTCGGAGGCAGGGAGGGTCCGCTCCCTATCCTTGATCTTGTTCAAGTTGCATCACCTGCCTCTCAGGGATGTGTTCGGACCCTGGTGGGAAGGCCTTGGTTGCTGTTTGAGGGTCGGGCCAGGGGTGGCCGAGGCTGTCCAGGGGAGTGGTCAGGGTCTTGGGGGAGCAGAGGTAGACTCAGCAGTGCTGGTGCTCAGAGGGGCCAGGGGACACCGACTCAGGCCACACCCTGGCCAGGCCACCCCGTCCCTGCTGGGGCTCGATGCCGAGGGGAGCGGGTCAGGCGGGTAGAGGCCCAGGGCCAGCCTGGGGGGCGGAGCTGCTCCTCCTCCGGGCGCCGGGCTTAGGGCCCAGGGGCCAGATGGTTTTCCTTGCTGCAGGGAGTGCCGGCAGCGGGGGGGAGGCCTGGGAGGGCTTGTGCAGCTGGGTCTCTCTTGGGTTTCTCTGCTGTTGTTTTTTGCTGGAAAATCAATCCTACAAGTCCAGCTGGGCTCTGGCTGAGAGCAGCCAGGGGTGGGAGAGGTAGGCGCTTCCCGGCCTCCTCGGGGTCAGTTCTGGGCCCACAGTGGGGAGAGAAGGCAGGAGGGGGTGGGGGCCCAGCCTGGGGTGGGGATCCCAAAGAGCCTGGCTCCCCATCCTGTGCCCTGCTTGGGCCACCCAAAAGAACTGTCCTGACCCTCCCAACTTCCTGTCCGGGTTCCCGGAGCTGCCTGCAGGTCCCCTGCTCCCGTGCCTGGGCGGAGGTCTAGAGAGGCCAGAGCCCAGGTGTTTGTCAGCAGCCAAAGGAGAGTTCTCCACCAAGGCACAGTAGCCCGAGGAGCTGGGGCGGCCGCTGGCTGACCCTCCTCGGTTCCACCCCTCCTGCCCCAGAGCCCTACGCCAGACCTGAGAATCACAGGCCTCCTCCTGCCCCAGGGCTCCCAGCAGGGCCCTCCCCCGCCTGGAGGGTGTGCCCAGCCACCTGTTCTCAGCCCTTTCTTCGGACCTTTCTTGAATGGACTCTGGGCTAAGTGCGAACACACGAAGGCAGTGTCCTCTGCTTCGTGGTCTGTGCCTCTGCTGTCCGAGTTCAGGGGCCGCCCACGCCTCCATGGTTGGCATACGAGGGCTCTTGTTTTACCCATGAGGGCCCAGGACCTGTGCCCTCGATCACATCCCCAGCTTACACGCACAAGCCCACGCTTGCCCACCAGGCGGACGCCCATGCACCTACACGTATGCACACGTACACCAAGCCGGCGGGCCACCACCTCCCCATCCGCCGCCCCAGAGCCCTCGGTGTCAGACCAGGAGGGGGCTGTGGCTGTCCCTTTTGAATACACCCGAGTCGCACAAGCCCAGGTTCCTAGACCTTTGTTGCTCCATATAAATTTGGGGGTGAAATTGTTGAACTTGTTCAACATAAGCAGCTGAAATTTTGCCTGGGAAGGTGATGAAGTCTATAGCACTTGGAAAAACGTATTCAAAGCACTGTATTTTATGAAGTTAACAGCCTGCCCCACAAGCACAGCCCGTCTCATCTGACGGCCTCACCGTTCACCATGGAGGTGGGCGGCCCCGGTCACTCCCACGGTCTTTACCAGCCGGGTGCCGGCGGCTGGGACCAGGTTCTGGCCACTGTGCTCACTGCAGAATCGAGCTAGCGGGCCAGACCCTGCATCGTGAGGACAGAAGCAGGACGCATCCCCCACAGGCACCCGCTGTCTGCACCTTTGTTTCTGTTTGTTTCTGCCCCGGGTGGGCAGGACAGCTGGCAGGCACCACAGGTGCCCCCGTGAGGCCCCCTGGCCTGTCCAGGATTAGCTGCAGGCTGTGGCTGATTTTCCTGGATTTTCTACACAGACGCTTGTCAGCAAACACAAGGGGCTTATCTCTTCCCTTCCAACACGCAAACCTTATTTCACGTTCTTGTCTCAGGGTTTTGGCACAATCTCCAGTCTGATACCAGCCTCCAGGGAGATGAGCCGTGCTGCCCATTTCACCGGCGAGGAAACCGAGGCTGGGGCCCCCCCACCACCTTCTGCTACCAGCACCCCTCCTGGGGCCTGGCGGGGCGCGGTGGCTCCCCGGAGGCGGCACCAAGGGGAGGTTCGTTTTGAGGCTGCAAACATTTTTCTGTTTTCTGTCCCTTACATCTGAGACTCAGAGCCACACTTCAGAGTCCTGGCTCCCTGGCCGCCAGCCTCACACCGCGGACGGCCCTTGGCGGCGTGCCCTTCCTGCAGGGAAAACCGACCCTTTGACTTGGAAACACTGAGGCCAGCGGAGCGGGACCTCCGGGCCTGCGTCCAGTCCACACTGCTGGTGCCTGGCTGCCTCTCAGGGCGTGGCCTGTCTCCAGTAGGAGCTGGGAGGGCAGCCCCACCCTCGGCGGCCCTGGGGGCTGACCAGGGCCCAGGGACCCAGCCCAGGGCTTGCCTGTGCGGAGACTCAAGCCAGCAGTCAGTGTGGAATTCGGGTCTTCCCACCACCCTCTTCAGCCCCCACCAACGATATCAGAAAACGTCAGCTCCAGCCAGCACCCCAGAGCCTTGAAGTCACCTTCGCTGCCCTCCTCACGCCCAGTGCCCGTGTTGGCAAAACCAGGGCCAGCTCTTTAATCATGTCCAGAACCCACCCTTCCCATCAGCCCAGGCCACCCCCTCAGTGGTCCGGGGGCTCCAAGATGAGGGGCTCCAGGCAGGTCCGAGACGGGCTGGGTGTCCTCTGCCACTCACCTGCTGAGGGGAAGGAGGCAGAGGCCTCGGTCAGTGAGGCACGGCTGCCCTCTGTGGGAACCACTGCCCATACCCGAGACCACTGCGGGCCCCATGGTGCAGAGCCAGGTCGGAGGGGGCACCCCCACCAAAGGCAGTGGCCTCCCCCCTGCTTCTGCGTTAGACGGGACAGGGAGCGGGGGCGGCCGACGCCTGGGGGCTGACGCTGCAGGGTCTGGACGACTGGGCTGGCAGGAGCACCCACCTGCATGCAGGGAAAGGCTCAGGCCAGGGACGCCCCAGAGGGACCCGGGTTTCCCCAGTGCCCGCTGCAGCCCCTCCCTGCACTACCTGGACCCCTGCAGGAGTCTGCCTGGAAGCGCTCCTCGGGGTGTCTGGTATCAAAGTTAATCTCAGAAAATGAGCTGGGATTCTGCTGCCATGCATGGACCACACGTCCCAAGGAAACTGAGGAACCAGGAGGCTGGGATCTCGAAGAGGACACCAGTAAAGAGGGTCGGCTGTGGGCCGAGGTGAGGAGTGACCCCTTTTGGCTGTTTTGCACATTTCTGTGGGCTGGCCGACCCGTGGTCTGCGCAGCCTCCTCGGTCCTGACGTCTGCTATCCCTCCTCCTGTGGCCCACAGGCTTCCCAGGTCGCAGGCCGGCCTCAGGGAGGTATGCTCAGAACGGAGCGGGTGGGCCGTGGGGCGGGCCCTCTGCCAGTCAGGCCATCAGCAACGCAACGGCCCGGCCTGGCACACTGCTCCCCTTCCTCAGGGGTACTTCAGCAGGCCGCCTCCAAGCCAGGACCCTACAGTGTCCCAGAGATGAAGCAGGCAGAGGGACAGGCCCGCACACACAGAGACCACTGTCCAACCTGCCACGGCCCTGTCTCTGGGTCGCTCTCGGGCTGCCCACGTCAGAGAGGCTGAGCTGGAGGTCACCACAGCCGGGACTGAGGCTCACCCGTGTCCCCGTGAGACAAAGGTGCTGGAACAGATGCCAGGCACGCCGGCTCTTTCCGGGATTTTTATTTCTTTAAAATAATTCATACAAATGGTTACAGTCACAAACATGATTTTAACCAAAATATTGCTAGCCTACCACATCAGCAGGACGGCACCGGTGCAGGCGGGGACGCTGCCACCCTCCGCGCCCCCAGGACAGACGTCGGCGGGCAGCGGGCGTGCCGGGCACCGCCCAAGCTTCTCCTCCCGGAGCTGCTTCGTGATGCCGTCTTCATTTGGAACAAGGGGGTTCATGCCAAAATTAGGAAAAACAGCTTTTGTTTTGTTTTTCTAAATTATTCTAAAAATAAGACAAGCAGGTAGAAAAAACAATGCACTGTGTGGCATAAAAAGAAAAACGGGAAGGATTCATTGTCCTGAGAAGTTTGCCAACTGCCTCATCCGGGGCACGTTCCAACACAGAAAAGGGAAAAATAACATCCAATTCATTTCCGAATGCTCCCTCAGGGGTGTTTCGTTGACAGCTAAGCAAACAGATCCTTTGTAATGTTCTAAAAACTGTACACAGACAAGAACGTTCATGGGAGAGTAACTACTGACTTCTTCTGCTTAACGAGGAACGCAAGGACACAGGACAGAGAGCCCACGGGACGGACGACAACAACCGACACGGGCCCGGCACTGCCCACCCGCCTCCTGCACCGCCCGACAGTCTCTGCAGCGCCAGGGCCGTCACGCAGGCACCTCCTCTGCACACTCTGGTCCGAGGGGCTTCCGGCCCTCCGCCCAGGCGCCGAGGCTGGAGAGCTCCTCCCGGGCTACAACTGGTCACTCGCGTGGTCTCGATCCGCCTCGGGCTTGACAGTTTGGCCAGGAGAAGGGGCGTGGGGCGGGTGGGCCACAGGGGGCAGGCCGTGGGACAGGGACATGGCGCTGGGCACGATGCCTTCCACAGCAGCTGGGATGCCAGTGGGGGCCACACCCACCACGCCGGGAGGGTACCTGCTGGGAGAGGGTCCAGCCGTGGGGCCCACCTGTAGGCAACCTGGCCAGGCCCCGCCTGCCCTCACAGTAGCAGCAGCACCGAGAGGGCATCTCTGGGAGGACCCGCAGTCAGGGTGAGGGTCCTTGCCTCTGCAAGGACGCTCCTGCCCACGGGAGCTACTTCTCAGGGCAGGGGAGGGGAGTCCTGGTATCTCCAGGCAACTGGAACATGAGGTCTTCACCTCAGCCAAAGCCCCCTGCTCCCATAGCCCCCGTGCCCACACAGGCCTCTGCCCAGCAGTCCCGTGTCCACTGGGCCCTGAAGGTCACCCAGCCCAGGCTCCTTCCAAGGGGCCCTGGTTCTTGTGGGACTTTTGGGTGAGGTGCGTACCAATTCCACCCAGATCCTCCAGCTCAGCAGAGATGTGCCCCTCCTGCCAGGGGCTGTGCAGGGATCCAGGGGAAGCCGCCCATGCTCATGGGGGCTGGTAAGGTCCCAGCAGGCCTGCTCACCTGTAGGCGGCCCCATTGAGCTCGGGGTGCACGACCGAGGGGTCCATGCTGGCCCAGTGGGTGGCGGCCGTCAGATGGTCCTTGTTGACACAGTTCTTCAGGCTGTCTGGGATCCGGCCTGGGAGACGCAGGAGGGAGGAACAGCTGTAGCTCCGAGGGGACCCCAGGAGCGTGGCCCACGGGGTTGAGGACACGAACTGCAGCCCTTGGCAGTGTGCCCCTGCCCTCAGCCCCGGGGCTCCCCAGCACAGCTGGGTACTGTCGGGGGCCAGCGCCCTCATAGCATGGGCAAACCCCAGCCCAGAGCATGTGCCCAGCTTGCTGAGGAGCCTGTCTACTCAGCCCAGGAACTTCCCAGAGCAGCTCACAGGCCCCAACCGGCAGGTGTTGTGTGTAAGACATGGCTCCAGGGCTCAGCCTGACTTTGACCTCAGAGGCCCCTGCTGGGGGCATGGTGAGAGCAGTGAGAACCACGGCCCTGAGCTGGCAGAACATGGGCCCGGATGCCAGGCAGATGTGAGCCCACGAGCACCTGGGGCTGGCAGGAAGGGTGCCCCCAGGCCACAGGTGGGCACAGGGCCTGATGGAGCTACCCCTGCGCCCACCTCTGATGGCTCCGTGGAGCTCTCCAGGCCTGACCGAGCCGCCCCTACGCCCACCTCTGACGGCTCTGCGGATCTCCCCACGCCTGAGCCGCCCCCGTGCCCACCTCTGACAGCTCCGTGGAGCTCCCCAGGCCTGACCGAGCCGCCCCTGCGCCCACCTCTGACGGCTCTGTGGATCTCCCCAGGCCTGAGCTGCCCCTGCGCCCACCTCTGACGGCTCCGTGGAGCTCCCCAGGCCTGACTGAGCCGCCCCTGCGCCCACCTCTGACGGCTCTGTGGATCTCCCCAGGCCTGAGCCGACCCTGCGCCCACCTCTGACAGCTCCGTGGAGCTCCCCAGGCCTGACTGAGCCGCCCCTGCGCCCACCTGTGATGGCTCTGCGGATCTCCCGTGCCGCCTCCTCTCGCATCTCGATGGATGCCTGCTCGCTGTACCATGCGGCGTGGGGGGTGCAGATGAGGTTGGGTGCGTCCTTCAGGGGGCCCTGGCTAAAGCTGGGAACAGCACCGGCATGGTCAGCACAGCCCGAGTGTTGCGCCCACGTTCAGGGGGAGGTGGCTGGGCACTGGACCCCCTGTGGGAGGGCCCTGCCTGGGAAGCAGACCCCATGGCCTCCGCTCTGCTGGGCAGGTGGGCTGAGCACAAGGGCACAGCCTGGGACAGTCAGACCCACTGGGGGCTCCTGACATCGGTGGGATTTAATCTCCGAGCCCTCAGGGGAGCAGCCTTGATGGGGAGACATACTGGCCTGGCCCCTCTCCACCAAAGGGTCTGTGGGTCCCACAAGCTGATCCTGCCCCTGCCCCTGCAGGGGGTGTCTTCTCCTGCAACTAACATCCAGCCCAGGGCGTCGTCCGTCTGCAGGTCTGGATGTGACCCCGTGGCTCCATGGCCAGGGCTGTCGGGGACCACTCACAGACACTGGAGCCTCGTGCTCTCCTGGCTGGTCGGGGGCCCTGCCTAGAGGCTGCAGAGGACCATCAGTCCCTCCCAGCACAGAGGCGACGCAGGCCTGGAGCCCACGGCTCCATCCTCACCACACAGTGGATGGCAAACTCCCCCAGTGCCGGCCAGCAAGAGGCTGAGCACAGGCCAGTGCCTGGCCTGGCAGAGGCGCCGTCTGGAGGTCAAGGCCGGCAGGCGGGTGGGCAGGGAAGAGCAGGGGGGCACCAGCCATGGGGGCACCTGAAGGGTTCCGACTCGTGCACGTCCAGCGCTGCGCCACGGATCCGGCCCTCCTTCAGGGCCTGGGCCAGCGCCTTCTCGTCCACCAGGCCACCCCGGGCCGTGTTCACCAGGAAGGCCCCTTGTCTCATCTGGAAGACGTCAGGACAAGGCTAGGTTCAGTCAGGGATCCGCGCAGGGTGGGCGACCAGGGAAGCAAGGGTGGCGGTGTGCCCCGTCGGGTGGGGGAGCTCCCCGGCCCCTTCTCAGCCCAGGCCCACCTTGGGCTCAGCAGGGCTCTCGGACTGAAGGCCCTGGGCATTTGGCACCACAGCCCTGGCAGGCCGGCTGGGGCTGGGGCCTTAGTGACCTGCACGGCCCCACACCTCCTAGAGAGCTCGACCCTCCTGTCCCAGCCGAGCTGAGGACTAGGCAGGGCTCCGGGCTTGGCCCCTGTGGTACCCTCTTTCTGGGTCCCCTTCAGCCTCCCAACGCCCAGGGCCGTCGGCTCTGAGGCGTGGTTTTCGACTCCAGCCCCAGCTGGGGCCTGCAGCAGGGGCTGCTGTCTTTGGAACAGGCTCGTGTTTCATGCACTTTTGCAAAAGGCCCTGAGAGAGGCTCCCCCTTGGCTTCGCAGCCAGGGCTTTCCTGCATCCCCCCATTTCAAAGCCAGCCCACCCAGCCCCGGTGTCTGGCTGGCGGCCGTGCAGGTCACAGTGGCTCCTCTTTGGTGAGTTGCTGCCCGTTGCAGCCTCACACCCAAGGTCCTCAGAGACAGCAGGGCTCTGACCAGTGTCCATGTGCTACACCCTGTCCACTAGAAGGCTCTGTCAACAAAGAAAGGGGACGTGGGCACCTGGCCTCATCCTCCTTGCAGCTACAGGGGTCTAGGCAGATGGCTGACACGTGGCCCCTGACCTGTGTACACACACGCACACACAAACCAGCACATACAAATGTGCAGACATATGTGCACCCACACACACGTGCCCATGTACACACACACCAGTGCGCACATACAAGCCCCTGATAGGCCTGGAGCCAGTGGGAGCCAGCCGCCCCCAACTCCACCCACTCCAGGGAAGTGCAGTGCTGAGGCAGAGGCCCACCTGAGCACAGCCCTTTCCAGCTGCAGATACGCAACCTGAATCTGGCGGCACGGCACAGAAGCCACAACGGCCGACCCAAGGCCTCCAGGGAGCTGCGTCTGTCCCCACTATGTGAGTGACAAGGACTTCACAAGCATCTGGTACTCAAAGGGCTGTGGTTTTGTCTCGTATGGAGAGTATTTTAGTTCCAAGTAGAACTCGGAACATGGAGAAGCTGTCTGTGCAGACGGGGCTCACTCCAGCAGGGCTGGCGGACACCGTGGTGTGGCTCGAGGAGGGCAGGGTCTCGCCCAGATGCAGGAGGCAGCTGGGAGGGACCCACCTGACACCCCCACCATCCCTCACGCTGGTCCTGCCAGAAGGGAGTCCTGCACCCTGGCCCGCGCACCTGCTTGACGGTGAAGTCGTTGATGAGGTGGTGGTTGTGCTCGTTGAGGCCGCAGTGCAGCGTCACGCAGTCGCTGTGGAACAGCAGGTCCTGCAGGGTGCTCACGCGCTGCAGCCCCAGCGCCCGCTCCACACCGTCCGACAGGTAGGGGTCGTAGAAGAGCACGTTGAAGCCGAAGGCCTTGGCTCGCAGCGCCACCGCCTGCCCTACACGACCTGGTGGTGCCAAAACGCAGCATGAGACCCTTGCTCACCCATGGCCAGGAGGCCAGCCCCACAGCCAGGGTCAGAGGGGCCTCTGTGCCTCAGTTTGACCGTCTGTCTGCCAAGGATGACACCTTGGGTGCCCGCGCCCGCTCCACACAAGACGTCTGCCTCCAGTGTGCCTGCTGCCAAGGCGGAGGCTGTGCACAGGGGTGGAAAGGGGTCAGCTAGACCCTGGGCCCACACCACCTGTCAGCCATGTCACCCCCACTGCAGCCTGTCCACAGGACGAAAAATGAACCACTCCGTGTCAAATGAACCGGTCAGCAGGTCTCCACCCGGCCTGCACACGCCATGTGTGCCCGGTCCCTTCCGATGATCTGCTTTCGGGTCCACCCATCAGTGTCTCCAGCACCTCAATTCCAGCCACAGCTTGGTGGAGACAGCAAATGGGGCAGGAGGGAACCTTCCAGACCAGGGTGGCCCCGCTGGGGTTATGTCCTGCCCTGGTCGTGTGGAGCAACAGAGAAAGCCACCCGGGCAGACATGCCTGCCCGTCCCCGAGCCCTGCTGTGGGCCCTTCACACCCACTGCCTGCCCCCACCCCAGCAGTCCAAGGCTGGCACGGGTCCCAGCACAGGAGCCTCGGAGTGAGGGCCACTGAGTCTGGCTGGGGCCGGCTCTGCCCTAGGGAAGGTCTGCAGGGTGCACGCACCCACTGTGAGCCAACAATGTGGGCACAGACTCAGAAGCCCAGACACGGCTGGAAGGACACAGGACCCCAGCCTGCGAACGCAGTCTCTCCTGTATCACGTAGGAGGGAACTGCTGCAAAGGAGGGAAGCAGGGTGGGTGCTGGGGCGGGTGGGGAAGTGGACGTGGTTTCAAAGGCGGTGGCCAGGGCAGGCCTCCCTGAGAAGGCCAAGCTTGCTAGAGACATGAGGGGCAGGAGAGCTGGAACAGCATGTGTGAGGGGCCCGCAGTGGCCCGAGGGCCACGGAGACCAGACTGCCAGGCAGGCAGGGCAGCTGGACGCAGCCCAAACGCCCAGGGGAACAGGACTGGGGGAGGCTGGGAGGCCAGTCAGAAGAGCTGAGGACCACCTCAGCACACTATATCCTAGAAAGAGAGGCGCGTGTTCTAGAAGGAACATGGTGGTTCCAGCAAAAGCTCTTTAAACATGCTAAGAGATGACACCAAGTGTGGATGTAAGCAGCAGAAAGATGGAAGGTTCCAGAAGATACATGGCAACTCCTTAAAGAGCCACACAGAAACTCAGTCCAGGGAGGGCTCAGCAGGGCAGAGTAGAAGCAGGATTCCGAGGGTTGGAGCCACCGCTGGAGTACCCGGTCCAGGGAGGTGGGCTCGGCAGGGCGGGGGTGGGTGCAGGATTCTGAGGGTGGGAACAATGGCCCGAGTCCCCAGGGAGCTCCTCAGGAGCAGGAACAGCCCCCGCCCATCAAACCCCCTACCAGGGATCCCACTCAGTGGGCAGGAAAGGGGGGAGAGGCACCTCCCCCAGCGCAGAAGGCAGAAGAGACGCGGCTTCCCACTGTGCTAAACAGAAAGCCCGGGGAGTAGGGCTGCCGGCGGCGAGAACTAGTTTGAGCCCCAGCCCGGTGGCCCCTGCGCCTGGCATGGGAGAGAAGCGGCTGTTCTGGGCGAGACGACTCTTCACTTTAGTCTCTGCTATTCTCTTCCACACAACGTCTGGCTTATGATAGGGACTGCGATGACACAGGGACGCGGCAGGAAGATGTGGCTTCGCATTAGAACAAGACGCTACAAGCGACGAACCCACAGGTGACCGCATCAGCCAGCAAAGGCTCTTAAAAAACTACTCTAACCGTGCTTAGAAATGACAGCAAGTATGGATGTAATAGCAGAAAGATGGAGGATAAAGGACCACATAGAAATTCCAGAACTAAACATCCTCTCTGAACCAGAACTCCCTGGATGAAATGAACAGCAAAAAGGGTCAGGAGCTTGAAGGCAGGGCTCAAAGTCAGCAGACATTACCCAAACAAAAGCAGAGAGAAAAGAATTTAAAATTTGTTTTAAAGAACAGGCCATGGTGGCTCACACCTGTAATCTCAGCACTTTGGGAGGCCAAAGCAGGCAGATCACATAAGATCAGGAGTTTGAGACCAGCCTGGCCAACATGGTGAAACCCATTTGTAAAAGCATTACAAAAGCCAAATGCCGAACAACAAACTGAATGAACTCTGTGAAATCCTTCTACTGATAATGCCAGAATGCTGTAAAGAAAGGTTAAAATAAACAGAGCGATGTCATATTTGTATCCTGAAGATTCAGTATCTTTAGGAAGTCAGCATTCCCAAAACTGATGTTAAGGACTCAACAAAATGAACATTGAAGAGCTGATTGCAGACCAGAAATGGAAACGCACAGCAGGACCTAAAACAGCCAAGACCCTGGAGAAGAGCATGGCGAAGGAACGCCGCCTGCCAGACCTCCAGGCTCACTGCCGTGTGGACGGCGTGGCACAGGGGACAGGGAAAGCCGCCTGCCAGACCTCCAGGCTCACTGCCGTGTGGACGGCGTGGCACAGGGGACAGGGAACGCCGCCTGCCAGACCTCCAGGCTCACTGCCGTGTGGACGGCGTGGCACAGGGGACAGTGAAAGCCGCCTGCCAGACCTCCAGGCTCACTGCCGTGTGGACGGCGTGGTACAGGGGACAGGGAAAGCCGCCTGCCAGACCTCCAGGCTCACTGCCGTGTGGACGGCGTGGCACAGGGGACAGTGAAAGCCGCCTGCCAGACCTCCAGGCTCACTGCCGTGTGCACGGCATGGCATAGGGGACAGGGAAGAGAAACAGGTCAATGGAACAGAAGTGTCTAGGCGGACCCCCTCACATGTGACAAGCTGCCTTTCCATAGACAAGCCAATGGGAAGGAGGCCCCACATGTGCTGCAATGACCTGCCATCCTGGGAAAGGGCAGACCGCAACCCCAGCCTCACGTCACACGTGAGAGGCAACCCAGAAGACCCTGGACCCAGAGGTAAAAGCTTCCAGAAGAAAACACAAGAGCACCTGCATGACCCCGGGGTAAGCGAGATTCCTCAGAACACAAAAGACATTCACGTAAAAACCAACGGGTGATAGGCTGGGCTTCATCAGAATTGAAAACGTGTTCTCATCGCAGAGATGCCAAGAAAGTGAAAAGTCAAGCCGTGGCCTGAGATACTGGGAAATATTTAAAAACAAACATTTTGAAATTATGAAAATAGCCACGGTGCATATCGATCTGACAACTGACATATCACATGAGGGCTTTGTAAGCCACAGACAAAAGACCAGGGCAGAAAACACAAGGGAAGCCGTGAAGGGCTCAGTGCTTCACGACACAGGCACTGCCAGAGGCCAGTAAGGGCAGGAAAAGGTGCTCGGCCTCCTTGGTTATCAGGAAACTGCAGGTTAAGATGAAAATACCATGAAGTGCCTGCTGGAGTGGCTGGAATTACACAGACCACAACCCGGAGGCCTGGCGAGGACGCGGCTGCCCGAGCGAGAAGCCACGTCCTGCTCTGGGACGCAAAAATTCCGCTCCGAGGAACAAACCCAAGAGAAATGTGCTCCCAGAAGTTTTGTGATATTCTAGCCACAAACTTAGAAAATCCATCACCAAGAGTCTGGACAAGTGAATCATGTTGGGTCCATGTGACAGAACTGTCGTCAGGAAGGAACTGCTGGGTCATGCAAAAACACAGACAAGACCCAGGTCACCACCCCGACCAACAGGAGGCGGGCACCGCAGCAGAGCTGGGGAAGGCTGGTGCTCTAGGAGGCGGGACCCGGGTCATCACGCGGCACCTGCGGCGGAAGGGGGCCTCGGGACCGCGTGGTGTAGGAGCCTGCTCTGCAGACGGACTGGGGGGTTCTTGGGTGTAAATGTGTACCACGTTTTCCTGTGTGTACATAAGATAGTGCATTTTTCAGAAGGGAGGAGGGAAGAACCAGAAGGAGACTAAGTCATAGGCACCCGAGCCTCGCAGGGCAGCGGAAGCAGCCGCCCCCCTCGCCTATGCCAAGTTGCACCAACACTGTGAGCCACACGCCACCCAGGGCTTCAGCCTTCCTGTAGTCACAAGAGTGGCCTCCACGCTGAGAACCACCTAGACACAGGCGTGCACAGCGGAGGGCAGACGGCGGCACGCAGACCCTGGGAGGGCCTGAGCGGCTGGTGACTAGCACTGGCCCCACCTGGAGCACGAGGTGCTCCCGAGGAGTGCGAGGATGGGGCTCAGGGACAAAGGCAAGGGGCTGGGTGCGGGCTGCAGGTGCTCTGTGGTCAAAGGTGCCAGGCAGGTGGCCGGGGTGGGGTGGGGGTCCCTGTCCACGAGGTGGAGGCTGCAGCATCAGGGGGCTTGTGTCCCTAGAGGACAAAACCTCTCCTCAGCTCCTGAGGCCAAGGGAGCTCTGGCCTGGCCTGGGTCACCACGAAAGCACCACAGGCAGAGGGGGCTGCGCTGAGACAGAGGGAAGCAGCTGCACCCCAGCACCGACCCCCGCGGCTCTAGGGGCGCCTACCTGAGGGCCCACAGGATGACCTGGGCCAGTGCAGGGGAGAATGCCCACAGCCAACCCCTCGCCTGCCAGGTCCGCCCTGCACTCCCTAGGATACCAGGACCCATCCCGCAGTCCCTACCAACACTCAGGCCAGGCCTGGGTGGGGGCCTCAGCAGGCGGGGTCCTCCCCTGACCTCTGAGGCACCCCGACCAGGCCCTCCAACCCCCACTCCGCATGGGGCCGTGGAAGGAGCAGGTTGGGCCCAGCTCCATGCTCAGCCTAGGCAGGTGCCACCCTCAGGCCTCAGAGTGGCCATGGGAAGGGCCTGGGGCCTTCACGGCTGGGACCATGGACCCTGACCCCAGGAGAGAAAGGACACAGAACTCCAAAGGCTCTTACCAGGGGAAATACAGACACCGCCCACGCCTTCCCCAAACCCCTAGCTGCTCGTTCACCCCAGGTGAGGCGTCGGACCGGTGGCTGCAGGGCACATGGCACCCTGCAGGCAAGGGACACACGAGGGCCCGTCCCACAGGCTTGCTCTGCAGGCAGCCCAGGCACGGACCCTGCACAGGGTTGACAGGCAGCTCAAGGAGCCCTGAGCTCCTGGCCTCTTGGCCTCTGCCCACACCTGGGCTTCCTGTGCCCCCTCCTGCCTCCCCTCCACACATGCGTGCCGTGGTCCTGACATGGGTGGAGCCGCCCAGGCCTCAGATGAGCAGAGGTGTAAGAGACAGGCACCTCAGGGCTCCAGGGTCCTCACAGGCTCCAGCTAGCCCTGGGGTCCTGGTGGGGGCACCAGCAAGGTCATGAGAGCTGTGTCCAGGAAGAGACAAATGTGCTCCATGCACATCTGTGAGCCAACCTCTCCCACTAGCTGAGGTATGGTATCCTCACCAAGACCACCCAACATGTCCCTGTTCCCACACGCTGGCAGAAGGACAGCGGTCAGCAGGGGTGGGCTGTCTGGATGTTTGGGAAGCAGGGGGCCCGCTGGTCAAGGGGAGTCCCTGGTTCTCACATCCCCATGGGGCCTCCTGGGGAGGCAGTTACCTAGGCCACAGTGTCCGGGGGGTCTTCAGAAAAGGAACCCCCCCAACCCACCCTCTCCATGAACCCTCTAAGGGAGCATCTTCCCAGCCCACACCTGGGCCCAGCCCAGATTCTCCTCCCTCCTTTATGGGGCTCCCCACACCTGCCCTCTCCCAGCTCCACTTTCCTTCAAGACATCATACACACACACAGACACACACAGACAGACATACACAGACACACACACACGCACACGCACACGCACACGCCTGCTGGTCTGAGCTCAACCTGGGCCTGGCTGTGTGGGGCCTGCCGCGCACCGGACCTAGGACAGCGCTGGGCCCAGGACAGGCAGCTGCAGAGTGAGCAGGCAGATCAAGAGTGAGGGAACACGGGGGTCAAACCACTCCATGAGACCAGGGCCAGCACCAGGGGGAGGAGGCCCTGCCCCCAAGCAGAGCCCACACAGCCAGCTCCAGGGACCTTGAAGTGTGAGCACATGCCAGACTGTGGTTGATGATGTGTGTACACATGTATGTCCGTGTCTAGCTGCGTATGTGCCCACAACTAACAATGTATCCCCGTGAGGTCATGTGTGATGCCCGTGTGCCGTGTGATAGCTGTGTGTGTGCTGTGACATCTCTATGTCCCCGTGAGGTCATGTGCATGCTGTGAGGTCCACGTGATGCCCCCGTGTGCCATGCGATAGCTGTGTGCTGTGACGTCCATATGGGATGTCCGTGTGTGCCATATGATAGCAGTGTGTGCTGTGGCATTTATATGTCTCCGTGAGGTCATGTGTGTGTTGTGACATCCACGTGTGATGTCCCCATGTGCCATGTGATAGCTATGTGCTGACATCCAGGTGTGATGTCCATGTGCTGTGTGATAGCAGTGTGTGCTGTGACATCTGTGTGTCCCCATGAGGTCATGTGTGTGCTGTGATGTCCACACGTGATGCCTGTGTGTCGTGTGATAGCTGTGTGCTGTGACATCTGTATGTCCCCGTGAGGTCACGTGTGTGCTGACATCCATATGCGATGTCTGTGTGTGCCCACGAGGTCATGTGTACTGTGATGTCTGTGAGGCCTACACGTGTGCTGTGGAGTTGTGTGTGACGTCTGTGCAGGCCCGTGTGAGGCCGACGTGTGCTGTGACATCTGTGTGTGATGTCTGTGTGTGCCCATGAGGTCCATATGTGTACTGTGATAACTGTGTGAGGTCCACACGTGTGCTATGGGATTGTGTGACGTCTGTGCAGGCCCGTGAGGTCCACGTGTGTGCTGTGATGTCCGTGTGAGGCTGTGTGTGCTGTGTGTGCAGTGACGTCTGCGTGACACGTGCGCACGCCCGTGTGATGCCCGTGTGTGTGCTGTGACGTCTCTGTGGGTAGGGCACACAGCCTGGGATTCCCGGGACCGGCGCCTGGGCTGTGCACACTCAGTCCTGCCCTGGGTGGGGACCGACACCCGTAGCCCTGCCCAGCCCTGGGCGTCTCCTCCTAGGCATGGCCGAACGGTGGCAGCGCCAGACACTGGAGGGGGCACAGGCGCGGAACTGCGGCCGACGCACCGAGTCCGATGATGCCCAAGGTCTCCCCACGGATCCTGGCGGCGCCGGACGCCACCTCTCGGATCTGCTCGACGCTCTGGACTCGCGTGCCCTCCCGCAACGCCTGGTGCAGCCAGGTGGCCCGCCGGTACAGGTTCAGGATGTGGCACAGCGTCGAGTCGGCCGTCTCCTCCACGGACGCCGCAGGCACGTTGCAGACGGCGATGCCTGCGGGGACAAGGACACGGCGGTCAGCCCTGGACCGGGTCCAGCCCCGGGAGGACACCAGGGCCGCTGGGGCCGGGGCAGGTGGGAAGCTTCCCAAGGAAGAAGCCAAGGGACATGTCCCCAAGGCCACCCTGGGAGGCCACCAAGCGCATCTCACAGGCTTGGGGGTGGCAGAGTAAGCAGCCAGGCCCCTGCGCGCTGCAGCCCAAGCCCCGCCTCCACTTAAGGTTCACGAGGCCCCGGCTCCTGTGCGCTGGGGCTCGGGCGGAGACACTGCCCTGACCCCTCCCGACTCGGCACTGGAAGCCCAGGATCACCACTGCCCCAATTCCTCCCTGGGAAGCTGCAGCCAGGTCAGAATCTGGGTGCTGGCCCACCAGCACACATACATGGGCATCTGCACATGTCCTTGGGGCTCCCCCAGGCCAAGTGGGGCCCCTGCAGCTCCTTCCACCCTCCATGCCCCACACCCCGCAGTCAGTAACACCGAAGCTGGAGCCATTCCTGGAAAGCAAATCCATCCCATTTCTCCCGAATAGCTAGGCCGGGCACACCCATGTGTGCCCGCTGTGTGACGTCCTCCATGTGACCCCTACTCCACTCTCCTGGCCTAGGCAGGCCCTTCCCCGGCCAGCACCCCGCCCTGCACGGCTCTGCACTTCCTATCCCATCCGGGTGGTCACACTCCTGCGTCCAACCGGCCCTCCATCTAACTGGCCATCTGTCTCCCTGGCGAGGAGGAGGAGCAGGGCGCCAGGACAGAGCTGCACTCATGCCCAGAGGCTGGACAGGACCACGTGGTTCCACACGTGGTTCCCAAGGGCCAGGCGGGGCCTGACGTGGGGAGGCGCGAGCAGGGGCTGTATGAGGCCAAGGGCGGGATCCCAAACAGCCCCCAGACACAACTCGCTGGGACGTAAAAATGTTAAGCAAGGAAGGAAAACCAAGCCAGGCACGAGACTGGAACAAAGGCCTCCTGAGGGCGGCCAGATCCCAGAGACGCCCCAGACCGTCCCCGGCTGAAAAGCAGAGCCCTGGCCTGGGAAACGGCAAGGCCAAGGGAGACGGTAAACAGCAGGGGCCGCTCAGAAAGCGCCCAGGCCTGCCCCCGACAGCACGGCCGGCCCCTCCCGGGACACTGCCCACAGAAACCAAGGCGGGACAGGGCTGCACGCGGCTTTGGCCCACGTGTGTCGGCGAAGCAGCTCAAGCCAACACAGGAGGAAACCGCGAACAGGAAGCACGGCTTCCAACACCACCTGCGTCTCCGGCAGGAACACAAGCGGTTCCGACTTTGCAGCGCCGTGAGCTGCATCCCAGGAACGGGGAGGCAAGGCCACGCCGTGATCTGGCCAACCCGTGGGTACCAGCAAGGTATGACCTCGTCTGTCACCAGCATCGAGGAGAAAAAACAGACTGGGCACGGCAGAAAACGGAACGTGCACTCCGCGCAGAACGGCCAAGCACTGCTCCTCGAGTTTGTTCTGATGTGCGCGTGCACGACGCAGACGTGTTCCACGCGTGTGTGCACGTGTGCTGGGCTGTGAAACACACCGCTGTTCCCGCCGTGTCTTGGGACAGAGACCTATGAGCCTATTACAGCCATACACTGAGACCCCTGCCCCCCACCCCAGGGCCCTGGCACCCCAGCAAGGGGCACCAGCCCGATGTGCACAAAGACCCACATGGCAGCAGCTGCTCGCATGTGAGGCTGCAGCTGGATTTCCTGCTGCCCACAAGAGCATGCGTCCGCAGGTGAGGCTCTGTGAGGAACGGAACGGCTGCAACCTCACGCCGGCCCTTGACGGGACCACACGCCACTGCCACCCAGTGACATGCGGTGGGGTCCTTGATGTGGCAGCGAAGCCTCCATGGAAGCAGCAAGCCTGACGGAGCTCGCGCAAACGGGCACAGGAGAGAACTCGGGGCCAGCCTACCTAAATCCCCGGCCGACTTGATGTCGATGTTGTCAAAACCACTGCCGATCCGGACGATGATACGCAGGGCTTTGAACTTCTCCAGATCCTCCCTGGTGAGTGTGATGGTGTGGTACATCAGGGCCCCCACGGCCTCATTCAGGACCTGCGGCGGGGAGAAAGCACACCCCTGAGCCAGCGCCTGCAGATCCTTGGCCTCGGCCTTCAGGGCAGGGATCAGCCCGGCTGGGAGATCAGACCGTGGTCCTCAGGCTCCGTTCCCCAAGCACCAGCCCAAACACCGGGGGAGGCCACACTAACACTCGCTTCCCCACCACGAGCTGCCCCTCACCCCCACCAGGGCATCCTGAGTCCCGGCAATTCCTGCCACAGCCCCCTCAGCATTGCGCAGGGCGCACGCCAGAGCTGGTCAGAGCTGCCCACTTCCCACTGTGGTGGCTGAGATGCTTCCCTTTGAGCATGCACCCCACCCTGAGAGTCTGCTCAGCCTCATGGAGGAAATGGGGTCCCCGCCAGGCAAGGACACAACAGGGGGGCGCAGCCACACCTGGGAAGGATGCTGAGCAGGTGCAGCTGCGAGGGAAGAGGCGGGGCACCCGAGACCTGCAGGCCCAGAGCTGCGGACAGAAAGCAGCAAGTCCTCAGGACACACAAGCACGTGGGCAGAGACAGGCAGCGGCCACCCAGCCACAAGGACATGACCACAGGAGCACGACTGCCCTGTGTCACCTGAGAACCCGCCCAGAAATGCTGCCCACAGCAGGCACAGTGCACAGCACGGCCGGCGAGGCTTGGGGAGCTGTGTTCACAACAGCCACTCTCTCTTTTTCAGTTTCCATGACAAATCCTAGACCGGAAGGGCTACAGTGAATGTGGACCTGCACACAGCAGCCTGACCACGGTGCCTCCACTTAGCCAGCACCAGGAGCCGCTGTGGTTACGGCCAACCGCGCCCTGCCAAAAGCTCCCAGGTACCCCCAGCCCAGAGGGGACCCCAAGGAGGGAAGGGGCAGTGTGGGGATCAGAGGCACACGGGTGGAGGAAGTGCCAGGCAGAAGAATCAGGCGTGGCACTGGGCATGGGGCGGAGGAGGGTGTGAACCACCTGCACACGTCCATCCCACACACCCATGCCCATGTATGACAACGCCCACATGGTGCAGACGCTGTGGAAACAGCCATGGTTGGTGGTTGAGGACACCAGGATGCAGACTTCATCCACGTGGGCATGTCCGAGTCCTGGGGGACACACTGCACCTCCCATGAGGACACGACTCCCACCTACCACCTGTCCAGTGGGGCCACAGGGCCTCCTGACAGATCAACAGTGCAAGCTCAGCCCCCAGGTTGCCAGGGGCCTGGGTAGTGTCCTTCCCTCCCTCCCTGCCGTGCCGAGCCTTCGGCCCCCTGGCAGCAGTGCCTGGGTTGCTGGACTGCAGGGTGTCCTGTGGGAGCTGACTCTGCCTGGGGCTGGGCAGAACAGCTGGTGCTGGGCCGGCACACATGGGTGGGGTGAGGGCGGCCCCCAGCAAGACGCTCACCACCCAGCTGCAACCCCTTCTCCGATAGTGCCCGGACTGCCAGCTCGGCCAGAACAGATGATTGCCTTTGAGGCTGGCACAGCTTCCCTTCTGGGTAGCAGAGCAGGGGAGCCCTGGGCTGGCCTGAGTGTTCTGTGGGAAGGGAATCATCTGCACAGACCACGGACGAATGGGCCTAACACTCATCAATTCACGGACAGGGCTGACGGCTGGCCCTGGGCTCCTGGGAGGGCTTTGAGGCTGCATGGGTGCACACCCCTGGTGCACCACACTGAACCAGCAGTGTGGATCCAGTGAGGCCACGGAGGACAGCACAGGTGGAGGCCGGCAGTGGGCGGCTGGTGCGTGGCTGTACGTGGAGGCGCCAGGAAGACCCTGTGCTGCGTGCACTGGAGATGGGCGGCCACACACCACAGAGGCCGCCTCGGGCAGCCTGGCAGAGCAGCCACAGCTGAGGGGAGTCGCCTGCAGGTGAAGCTTCGTCAGCACCCACTGTGGGCAGCAAGGGCTGCGCATGCGAGCGGCAGACAGCGGCACGTGGGAGATGGGCCCTGGGGTCAGGAAGGCCTGGCAGCAGTCATCAGCCCGGGCGGCCGGCCTGCGCAGCTGGACCTACAGGGGCCCGTCCCACGGTGTGTGTGTAGAGGCGGTGTGAACAGGCTGTGTAAACGGGCTGGAAAGACCCACAGTGCACAGGACGGGCTTGTGTGTACAGAGGCACTGGCTTGCCTTCACCCCAAGCGTTCAGCCGCGGCCTTGGAAAAGTCAACTGTAAACCGCAGCACGTCACCTCCCCCATAATCAGACCAGATCCATGCGAATGTCCCTACTGCGAAGCTTTCAGGTGGCTTCCCGCGTTGACTCTTCCATGGTGAAAGTGTGTTTCTCCCATCAAGATAAGCTTTGGGAAGCGGAAACGCGTCGGCCGAGGGCCTCCTGCAGGCCCGGGGCGCCCCCACCCAGCCGCAGCAGCTCAAGACGGCTGGGCAGTGAAAAGCAAGCAGCCTCCCTGAGTAGCTGCAGTAACTTGCCCGGGCACGTCTCTTGGTACACTTTTTTCAGGCCCTTGCCCTTTTCCCTACTGAATGTATTTTTAACAATGCAGTACGGGTGAGTGCATTTGCACAACAGGAATCTGAATGTGGCTTGGAGGCCCCGTACCAGGCTGGCCTGTGCACAGCTGCAAGGCCAGAGCCGCCGGTGTGGGCGTCACCCTGTGGTGGCCACGTCACCCACAGGTCTGCAGGCCACGGCGCCGCAGCTACTGTCAGCCTCGGGGTCTACCTTCCTTTCCCCCTCATACTTCTCCACCCCTGGCTACGGCATCGGTCTCCCGTGGAGGAAGTCTGCAGGGGGTGGGTGCAGCCAGGCCTGCCCCTTTAGATCAGGACGCAGCGGCCTCCCAGAAGCCAGGCTGAGTCAACACCCACAGATGTGTCCCCTCCACCACCAGGGACTCAGCCCCACTCTGCTCAGTGCCTTCAACTCTGGTGCTCAGAGCAGGCCTGGAGAAAGCCAGGTGCCCAAGCTCACGGCTACTGGGCTGGAAACAGACCCCAGGATGCTCCTGGTGGCAGCCGATTCTCAGAGGGTCAGGAAGGGGCCTGCCACGCCCACCTCCTGCCACGGAGTTCCGCCACCTGCTTCTCCTGTGCTCAGGACTCAGGTATGTCATACTTACCTTTCGGAACCTCATACGCAGGTGTGGCTTATTCTGTCACACTGCTGCTCACATCAGGTCACCATCGGGGCAGAAGTTTCTCTATGACGCGCAGCCACATGCAGGCCCAGGGTGGGGCTGGGCCGAAGACCGCAGGCTTCGGATTTCCACAGACTGCCAAAGCAGACTGGCTCAGCCCTTTCTATTCCATATGAAGGGACAGCATCAGGCTCCCTCGGCATGGCTGGTGCAGGGCTCGGCGCAGAACAGGCAGTGGTTACCGGCGGCGACCCCGGTTCTCACCACCCTCATCCACTTTCTACTGGGATTTTTCCGTTTCCTACTGATTGGGAGAAGTCTCTGAATATATGAACTTTTCCACTGATTTGTTTTACAAACAGGGTCTCGCTGGACTGCAGTGGTGCAATCGCGGCCTGCTACAGCCTTGACCTCCTAGGCTCAAGCGACCCACTGGCCTCAGCTTCCCGATACACTGGGATAATAGGCTCGGCCCCCGCACTGCTCTGAGTATGTCATTCACCCTTAGGTTGGCACACAAATTGAAAATACCCAAAACCCCTATCTGTCACCTGTTTTTATTTTTAAAATTTATTTTGCTACGTCATTCTTTCTTTTCTTTCTGGAACACAGTCTCGCTCTGTTGCGCAGGCTGGAGTCCAGTGGCACGATCTCGGCTCACTGCAACCTCTGCTTCTTGGGTTCAATCTGCTTCTTGGGTTCAAGTGATTCTCCTGCCTCAGCCTCCTCAGTAGCTGGGACTACAGGCATCCATCACCATGTCCAGCTAATTTTTGAATTTTTAGTAGAGACAAAGTTTCACTGTGTTGCCCAGACAGGTCTTGAACTCCTGACCTCAGGTGATGGACCTGCCTCGGCCTCCTGAAGTGCTGGGATTACAGGCAGCAGCCACTGCACGCAGCCTTGCAGTGTTATTTTTAACTGCCATTTAATCAAAGTGACCTTTACTTCTGTAGTATCACATTTTCTACAGAAAACGTTGTATTTTCTGCGTTGTTATAGCCTCAGGGAGTAAACATTCTCTTTCAAAAGTTCCTCTAATGCTCTGCATTCACACAGTGGTGGCTTATGTAGGCAGCGAGCATCTGCAGTCCGGGAGCCGCTGCTGTTCCCGAACGGTCACCCAGGGGCCCAGAAGTCACCGGCTCCCCAGTCCCTGGCCCACACATCTAAAAAGCCATTGCCCGTGTCCTTGGGTCCCACTGGGTAGGACTATCTCTGATCCTCTGTCCTGTCCACTCTTGGTGGAGCCAACACTGCCCAGCTGGGTCTTCTAGACCTGAGAGTGGCTCCTGGACACGCCCTGCGGGGGCTGCACTAGACCTGAGGTTTGGCCAGGCACTGGTCAGTCTGCCTGGAAACAGCCCCTGCACCCGGTGGCGTGGCCTGTCCTCGTGGTCCTGGAAGACACTGTGACCCGGTATTAAGGTCAGACCCACGACAGCCTGTCTCTGTGCCGGCCGCCTCTGAGACTGAGGGGCTCTAGGACGGTCCTGCACGCCCCCCGCCCTGACAATGCCAGCTTTTGTATTTTTCCTGGATTTCTATTGCTTCATTTCCTCTCCAGCCCTAGCACCTCTGTCCAGTGAGGACTTCCCAGCGAGCTACCCACCCCCGAAGCCTGGAGCTACTCCGTCTTGCAGGAGCACAGCTGTTCAGCTGGCTGCAGGTCCTCGGGGGCCCCTGCGTCCTGTGCCCTCCCAGAGCCACCCTGCCACTCCAGGCCCCATAGCCTGCACCGGATGCAGCCTCCCGGCTCCCAGGGCTTCCTCCTTCCAGCTCAGCAGTTCCATCAGATGTGCAGTGTTGGGCTGAGTCTTGTGTCCTGGTGGGTGACATCCCCCACCCTGGTATCAGTAAAATCCTGAACCTGAACAGCAGGGTGCCTCCCAGGCCCCAACATTCTTCTTGTTTTTCCTATGACTGCACTGACGGCATCACATTCTCTCCCTCCACAGCATTGAGACAGCGGTGACGTCCAATCAGCTGTGTGGGAAGCTTCCGCACCAGGAGGAGAAATTCCTGACCAACAGTGACACACGAAGCAGGCCTTCGGTTTCCTCCCATGCCACAGCCTGGAGACAGGTGGCCCTCGGGCCCGCTGCTCTCTCCACAGTCACAAGGGTCCCTGCCTCCAGTCTCCTTGCTCCGTGGTTCCCAACATGTGGCTCCCCTCACGGTCCAAGGTGGCTCCCCACACTCCACCCATCACAGCTGGTTTCCAGCCAGCAGGGACAGGGAGGGCACGGCAGGGAGAGGCCCCGCTCCACTGGGTGCTGGACCTCGTCCTCTGGCCACCCCTAGTGGCAAGAAAGCATGGGTAGCCAAGTCCTCCTGCGGGACCACAGGCCATGACACGGGGACTCAGCACCCAGGCAGCCCTGCAGACTCACACGCAGCCCCAGGGGGCCACGGCCTCTCTCCCCATCTCTGGACACGCAGCTCCGGGGGGCCGAGGCCTCTCTCTTCCTATCTCTGGACACGCAGCCCTTGGGGGCGCGGGCTGTGGCCTCTTCCCATCTCTGGACACGCAGCCCGGGGGGTGGGGGCCATGGCCTCTTCCCATCTGGACACACAGCCCTCGGGGGGGCGTGGCCTCTCTCCCCATCTCGGGCTTCTGCAATTGCCCTCTTCTTACTAGATTTTCACTCATGTTTTTAATTTCAAGTTCTCCTAGTTCTCTGGGGCCCCTTTCAGCGGCACCTGCTCTGCTTCTGGTTAGGGGCTGCTGCAGGCCCCTCCAGGATGCCAGGACGTTTCCCAACACTCCTGTCTCTTCCAAGAACACTGCTGCATCCCCTGGGGCAGTTTTCTGTGTATTTCATGTGTCCCTTCTCTGCCCTGGGCTGTATAGTCCGGGTGCGGAGCAGGGAGTCTGTCTCCCGCCAAGGACCACGACGGCCCCAGCCCGACCAGGGGCGGCCCACTGATTTGCATTTTACACGAACCTGTCCAGGCAGTCTGGGATTCCTGCAATTTTAGAAAAACTCTGTTTTGCCTTAGTTTTCCAATTCGTTGGCAGACCTTGTTTTAGCATGACTTACGATTTTCAGAGTTTACTAGGTGCCTCTTTTCTGTTCCATACGTGTGTATCTTTAATACACACCCAGCTTCCCAATGAGAAAACTGTACCTAACGGGGCACTGTCAAAACCGAGCTGGTACTGCGTGACTCCTCAGGTGTACACCTGGCCTTGCACGCGTGTGGACCCATCCGTGTGATGTGCTCACGTGCAGATTCCGGCACACTGGCCCACTGGCGGCTCCCCCACCTGCACCCTGGCAATGGTTTCTGTCACACTGATGCCTCCACCCGAGGATGAAGAGATCAGACAGCGTGCAGCCCTTGAAATCAGCTCTTCATTTGCCATCACGCTGCTGAGGTCACCCTGCCTGTTGCTAAAGACGCCAAGGGAGGTGGCCGGTGTTTGCCTGGGGCAGCCGGAGGGTGTCCTGGTTTGGGCTATGATGAGTTAAAGCTGCCAGAGAGCACGACATGCAGGTCTGCATTCCAAGCCTCTGAGATTAAGAAGTGTGGCTGCCAGGCTGCATTACAGGCGCGCATCTAACTGCGTAAGAAACCAGGAAGCGTTTGCAGAGCGACCGCCCGCCCCCGCAGACGCACGCCACTCTTCAGCACCACGTTCCCTTTGGAAATGCTTCTGCCGCTATCATTTCCAGCCCCTCCTCTCTTGTTCCGAAGTGTCTGCGAGGGTGGCTCACCCTCCTGCCTGCACTGCGCAGCTGGCTGCTAACCCCGCCCCTCTGTTCTCCCATTCAGCTTCGGCGTTTCTCAGATCCACACCTCACTTTCTCCTCTGAGGCGCTACGCCCCGTTTTAGGGTCAGCAGCTCCTCGTGGGTGTCCAGCCCAGCCTCCTCCTGAGGACTGTGCTGGGGTCACCGTGCCGTGGTCAGCTCGGCGAGCGCTGGTGGACCCGCACTGCCTTTCCTGGCTTTTGGGCTTTCTGCCTCATCTGCCATCTCCTGACTGCCTGGTTATCTCCACTGCATCTGATGGACCCCGTGCCAGGCAATGATTTGTAGAAATGAGCTGAGGCCGAGGCTGATGCTATGTTCCGCTGAAGGGGCTGTCCCATTTCTTCCTGCCAGGCACCTGGGGCCAGGCAGTGTGGGGTCCCCTAAAATCCAGGCTCAAGTTTCCCCAGATGTCGGCAGGCTGGATGCCCACTGTGCGGCACATCAGAGTCCAGGTCACCCTCACTCCAGGTGTCACCTTCCAGGCCATGGATATCCCAGCAGGCCCCACGCCCTGCAGGCCAGTGATGCCGCCAAAGCCAAATTCAACTCCTCAGCCACTTCTTCGAGAACAGCCAACACCCCAGGCCAGAACTGGCAGGGCCCGTCTGTTCCTGCAGATTCTGGGCTTGTCTGGATTGCAGCCTGGGCAACTGTAGTCTGTCCTGTTAGCTCCTGAGGACCCAGCTTCTTCGTCTGTCTTCAGGAAAAGCTGCTCTGAATCACTGACCCCTGGCTACAAGGAGAAGCCAGACCAACCTGTTTCTCATCACGGAGGAGCCTGTGCGTCTCCTGAGCAAACACGACTCAGGAAGGCTGCCCGAAGGCTGCCCACTGCTGGACCACAGCCAGGTCTTGGACAATGCCGAGACCACCCATGCCCATGCAAAGACCGCTGTGCGCCCGGGGCCAGGGGAAGCAATTCACTCTGGTCCTGCAACAGAGGCAGCGTCCTGAGGACCTGCTCTCTGGGAGAAAACTGAAAATGAATCCAGAAGCTACAGGCGAAACTCCATGTCCATCTCCTAATGGGGCGGGGCGAAAGGGACAGAGGCCGCACCTGTCCCAGTGGCACCCACACCTGCTGCGGCCCATGCTCCCGTCCCTCCCCACTCCCCTCTGGCATGCGGCTCTGGCAGCCCCAGGACAGTACGTAGTGGTACCTTCTCGTGGATCTCCTGCGTGGACTGCGCATCACAGAAGGCCACAGTGGCCACGTCCTTCAGGATAGGCATCTCCACCGTGCAGTCCCGGCCATCCAGCAGTGCCACCAGGGGCCGCGGGTGCAGGGGCCCGTTCATGATCGGAGGTCGGACGCCTGCAAGACAGAAGCAAGTGCTCAGCCTTGCACCACCGCGGCCCCGTGGCCACGACCTGCTCCACGCTGCCCACTGTGCACGGGCTGACGAGGGCTTTCCATTCTAATGTTGTGATATTTGTAAAAAGTGAATTAAAAATCTACAGGAAAGACAGATTTGTGTGTGCCTCAGCTCGCTGACAAGACTGGACACAGACCACAGACATCCACCACCATCGCCCTCAGGCACAGGGGCTCCCAGACCCCCTGAGGCCCTCTGAGACCCCTCCAAGACCCCCACCCCCAGACCTGTCTGAGACTCCCCAAGACCCCCCATACCCTCCGAGATCCCCTGAGACCCCAGGGCAGCTTCATGATGCAGGGGGACAGGAGGGACCCGTGACACTGGAGGGCACAGATCGCAGCACGGGGCTTTAGGAACACGGCTGCCCTTTTCCCCCTGGGCTACCGCGTGGCTGCTGGAATCCCCGATGGGGTCACCAATATTTCACACAGAATGCTCCACTCTCTGCCTGGCATCGCTTCCATTTGTATATTTGAAGGGACAAGAAACAGAGCAATGGAAGAAAAGGGTTAAAACCTACTAAAGTCCACTGTGCCCCTACCTTCCCAGAACGAGCTGGTTAAAAACCACTAACACCCATTCCTTTCACATATGACACAACTAAGCTTCGTTTGGGGCCACGTGGAGAAAGGAGGGCTCTGAGGTGTCACAGAAGCATGGCAGCTTCCAGGCCCCACCCAACCACCCTGTGCCAGGCAGGGAGCACAGGGTGGGGCCACTATCAGCCCCACAGCAGCTGGGAAAGGGCAGAGCTGCAGCCAGGGTTCTGGCCGGTCTACCCCCCAGACTGGCCCCAGGAGACCAAGCAGCCCCCAGGACCATTTGGTCAGCAGGAGGAGAGACACGGGACAGAACCAAAAGCGGAGTGACCCAGTAAAGTCCTCAGTGGCCGCAGCCACAAGCACGCTCGGCCCAATCTCCCACCCCGTCCACCAGCAGGTAAGCAGAAGCCACCGAGCTGCCGGGGCCCAGAATGCACTGCAAACACGGCTCTTGGGAGCCCACAGCAGAGAAAACACCCTGGTGGACAGCCTAGGGGTGCAGTGGGCCTGCAGCAGGTGCCTGCAGGGGACAGGGCACAGGTCTCCACTGACCACCCCAAAACCTAGGGCTCCCGGTGCGGCTGGGCCCAGCCGCCTCCCTCCAAGTCCTCACGCCCCAGTGTCCTCAGAGGAGCCACGGGCCATTCCACCCACTTGCCTTCAAGACAGGAAAGGTGCCAGGACCTGCCCAGACCCCAAACACCGGGTGTGCATGATCAAAACCACATCCCGGTTTGGCTGCTCCCTCATTCCATCTGGACAGGAGCTGCCTGTGCCCCGCTCCTGCAGCCCCCAGTGACACTCCACACGTCCCCCTCCTGCAGCCCCCAGTGACACTCCACACGTCCCCCTCCTGCAGCCCCCAGTGACACTCCACACGTCCCCCTCCTGCAGCCCCCAGTGACACTCCACACGTCCCCCTCCTGCAGCCCCCAGTGACACTCCACACGTCCCCCTCCTGCAGCCCCCAGTGACACTCCACACCTCCCCTTCCCGCAGCCCCCCCAGTGACACTCCACGCGTCCCCCTCCCGCAGCCCCCCCAGTGACACTCCACGCGTCCCCTTCCCGCAGCCCCCCCAGTGACACTCCACGCGTCCCCCTCCCGCAGCCCCCCCAGTGACACTCCACGCGTCCCCCTCCCGCAGCCCCCCAGTGACACTCCACGCGTCCCCCTCCCGCAGCCCCCCCAGTGACACTCCACGCGTCCCCCTCCCGCAGCCCCCCAGTGACACTCCACGCGTCCCCCTCCCGCAGCCCCCCCAGTGACACTCCACGCGTCCCCCTCCCGCAGCCCCCCCAGTGACACTCCACGCGTCCCCCTCCCGCGGCCCCCCAGTGACACTCCACGCGTCCCCCTCCCGCGGCCCCCCAGTGACACTCCACGCGTCCCCCTCCCGCGGCCCCCCAGTGACACTCCACGCGTCCCCCTCCCGCGGCCCCCCCAGTGACACTCCACGCGTCCCCCTCCCGCGGCCCCCCAGTGGACACTCCACGCGTCCCCCTCCCGCGGCCCCCCAGTGACACTCCACGCGTCCCCCTCCCGCGGCCCCCCAGTGACACTCCACGCGTCCCTCTCCCGCGGCCCCCCAGTGACACTCCACGCGTCCCCCTCCCGCGGCCCCCAGTGACACTCCACGCGTCCCCCTCCCGCGGCCCCCCAGTGACACTCCACGCGTCCCCCTCCCGCGGCCCCCAGTGACACTCCACGCGTCCCCCTCCCGCGGCCCCCCCAGTGACACTCCACGCGTCCCCCTCCCGCGGCCCCCAGTGACACTCCACGCGTCCCCCTCCCGCGGCCCCCAGTGACACTCCACGCGTCCCCCTCCCGCGGCCCCCAGTGACACTCCACGCGTCCCCCTCCCGCAGCCCCCAGTGACACTCCACGCGTCCCCCTCCCGCGGCCCCCAGTGACACTCCACGCGTCCCCCTCCCGCGGCCCCCCAGTGACACTCCACGCGTCCCCCTCCCGCGGCCCCCAGTGACACTCCACGCGGCCCCCTCCCGCGGCCCCCCAGTGACACTCCACGCGTCCCCCTCCCGCGGCCCCCCAGTGACACTCCACGCGTCCCCCCCCCGCGGCCCCCCCAGTGACACTCCACGCGTCCCCCTCCCGCGGCCCCCCCAGTGACACTCCACGCGTCCCCCTCCTGCAGCCCCCAGTGACACAGCGCATGGTCTGGCTCCACAAGTGGCGGTGGTTACTGCTCATGTGAGGGTTTACGTTGCTGTTTCTGAGCCAGTGGGTAGACATCTACTCTTAGCATCCTTGGTCTTCACTTGTGATGAGGAAGGTGTGAACACGAGAACCCCACAGGCCCACAGCTCACGGGCCATCTCAGTGCAAAGTCTGAACTGCCCCTGCCAGTGAACGTGGGGACTTGGGCTGGTGTCGTGGTGAGAACGCAACGGTGGGAACCACGACAACGCGGCTGCGTCGGAACCGCCCGGGAGGACTCCTGGGTGCTGGGTGAGTGGAGCCGGGAGGAGGAGGTAAAGACGCCAGGCCCCACCAGTCAGGAACCCAAGGCGCCTCCTTGTATCACCCACCGTACCAGGGTCCCGCCAGATAGCCCGACACACCCAGGAGGCCGCACGGTCACGCGGCCCGTGCTGGAGCAGGCTTTGCGGGCCCTCAGCCCAGTGCTGTTTTCCGGCTGCAGGTACTTCGGGGCCACAGAACACAGACCAACCATTAGAAACAGCTCCACAGGGCCGCTGCCCTGCTCTAGGGCAAGCCAGGTGGACACCTGGATTTCCAGGGTTCCATGTGGGGCTCCGTCCCCGTGCTGGCGGACCCCACACCCTCTCCGTGCCCCTCAGACACTTTCCGGCAGAAACAGCAGACGCCGCGGACAGGACTGACCACAGCTGTGCTCTGCCGCCAGGCATGCAGGAAACCCTCCCTTGGGGGATGCCTGTCCTCGCCCAGAGCGCACTGGGGGCCGGGTGGCAGCAATCAGGCCCAATGCCCGCACAGCCCGGGTCCCCCGACTTCATCTGAGGCAGTGCCTCCTCCACAAGGTCGCTCTGCCGCAGACGCCAGGAACGCCTACCAACCTGACATCTCTTAATATGGGCTCGGCTTCCACGACCATGAATTCGACTTTTCAAAGCTTTTTATCTTCAGGGTCCCCAGGCAGAACCGCGTCCTGTCTCGGAGCCTCATCCCACGTCCTTAATTGTCTCGAGCCAAAGCGCTCAGGCTTCTGATCCACGGCAATCACTGAAGCCTGCGTCGGGGTCAAAGTCTTACTAAAAATCAAACACAAGAGACACATTAAAACGCCATCAAAGGTCCGACCAGAACTCAGAGACTCCAGGAAACACCATGGACGTGGACCTTGCTGCATCTGCCACACCCAGGGCTGCTGGCTGGGACCTACCTGGACTCAGGGGCCTGCTGTCAGCCAGGGGTGCTGGCTCCCGCCACACATGTGAGGGGCACTCACCCCGAGGTGGCAACGCCAGGCCCGAGGCCGGGTTCCAGTGGCCCCTATGCCGCCTCTTGGGAACCGCCCCCCAAGGCTAAGGCCACCCCACAGGCTCTAGCTGCACCCAGATGTCCCCCGTGTCCAAGAACCAGGGGACGGAGAACAGGACAGATGGTGCGTGCTGTGGGCAGGGAAACTGCGGAAGGCTCTGCCTACTGTTCTGGAAGCTTCTATCTCATGTGGCCAAGTCCCGGGAGCCACCGGGAGAGGTACTGCTGGCTTTTCAGCATCCAGCCTGCCACTGCCTGCCCTGGGCCACGACATCTCCACCTCTGACCCTCAGAGTACCCCAGCGACGCTCCCTTGATTCTCTCGAAAGCACTGCTTAGCTCTTTCTGACTGCTAGGCCAGGGCCTGGCAGGAAGCTGAGGGCACGGACCTCGATGGCCAAATGCACAGCAGAGGGGGGCATCTGAGGGGCCAAGCCTTCCAGGCACGAAGCCCTGGGATGTACAGGGGGCTGGGAGTGCCCACGATCACCCAGCCCCGAGGAGGGTGTCACTGAGCCACCCACATCCGGCCCCTGCTCTGGCATGAAGACACCACACAGGGGCTGACCCCAAGGTGCAGCTGACGTCCAGCAGACCAGGACAGGAGCCGGCCACCAGCCGCAGTGTGCAGGCATAGGCAGAGACGACTGCCTGCCAAGCCAAGAGGGGCTGCTCAGCCAGGCCTAAGACCCTGGTGGTGCGCTGGGAGGCCACCCCTGCTAGAGGCCTTACAGAAGAATCTCCACCCCTCACTTCCCTCTGCAGGATTCAAGCACACATGCCGACCATCTCCAGCTTCCAGAGACACCACTGCACACGGTGCAGCCCCACGCAAGAACACACCTCCCAGTCAGGGTCCCTGACACCACTCTTCATGGCAGGCGCTGGGTGGGGCTCCCCTGTGGAGGACCCTAGAGCAACACGGTGGAGTGGGATCCCCCCGCCTGAGCCTGGGCCCCCGACGACCTGCGCTGGGCCTTGAAGGCAGGGTCTCTGCTCCCTCCAGCCCCCCCAGCCCTACCCCCACCCACTGCACCTGGATCCGGCACAAAAACAGAAACTAAAAGGACAGGAGAAAACAGCCTCAATGTCACACCTCCGCCACAAGCCAGCCTGGCTAGGGGGCAAGGCACCGCGCCATCCATGCCCGGCCAAACGCATCAATACCGGCCGATACTCATCAATACTGCCCACGGCGGCCCAGTACCAGCTGCTGCTCACCAAGACCCACCAATACTCATCAATAGTGCCCATGGTAACAAGGTGCTGGCTGCTGCTCCCGGAGGCTCCTAGATACCCCTCAATGCTGCTCAGTGCGTCTCAGAACCACCCAGTACTTGCCCACACCTGTGGTTCCAAGGAGGAAGCAGATGTGGGAAGGCCACCCCAGCCCTCCTGAAGGTCCCGAGCTGAGGGGCCTGCGACAGGACTCCGGTAGCCCTGTGCTCCCCGGGCCGGCCCTGGCAGAGCTGAGGGGCTGCGCCCCGTGCCACAGGGACCTCCTGCAGCTCCTTGTTCCAAGGCTGCCCCAGCTCAGGACAGACACCTGAGGCCCAGCACCTGGTTCTCCTCCAGGGGCCTCTGTCTTGGAAACAGCCCTGGGGCGAGACCTGTCCTTAACTTTGGGGGAGGTCTGTCCACCCTCTGCCCTACCCTGGGACCACGGTGCACCCACAAAGCAGCCCCCTGCCAGGCCAAGCCTCCCGTACTGACACCCAGCGTCCGAGTCCCGGAGCTCCCACCCAGTCAGTGCGATGTCTGGAGGCCCTGGGCACCTCATGCCAGGGAGCTGGCCTCCCAAAAGCCCTCCTAGCTGGCCAGTTGGGAGTCAAGGGCTCCAGGCCTATACCTCCCTCACCCGCTCCGAGATGAAGGCACACAGCTCCCAGAGGGGCCTGCACCATCCAAACCCAGGACCTACACTGCTTTTCCTGATTAAAAAAACTCACGGCCACACATGACTCTCAGCTCAGCAACGCGAGGACCGTCTCCAGGTTCACATCCTGCAGACGCTGGGGGCTCCTTCGACTTAACCTCACATTGTAAGAAAGCCTCAACAGACCCACAGGGGAGACAGTGCGGGGTGCACCCGAAGCCCGTGCTAGCTTCCTCACTTTCCTGCAAATCTCAGACTATTCTAACATAAACATTTCTTTTAAAGAAGACGAGGCTGAGGTGAGGGGCAACAGCCCCGAAGGTCTCTGGAGGCATCAAGCCCCAGGAGGCAGCACGGTGGGGGCCCAATGACCCCAGTGCCTCCAGACCACGTGCCAAAGCCATCTCCGGAAGCCCATCACCAGCTGCTTGCCGGATCCTCCCTCCTGTTGGCCACATCTGCCCACTTGGCCCTAAGTCATGTGTGTGCTGGGCATCAGTACACTCTGGAGAGGGACCGGGGTAGCCTCCTGCACTCCGGGGGTCACCACAGGCTGGGACCTGCCCCCCCTCACCGGCCAGACAGCCACAGAAGGTCTCTGGGCACCGGGTTTGCAGGAAGTCCCAGGAGACCCCAAGATGCACCAGAACCAAGCAGCTGCTTGGGGTCATCTCCAGCCCAGGCTGCGCCAGTCCCCTCAGATAGGACTTGGGGGTTGGGGGTCCCCTGCTGGCTCCTATCTCCTCCTGCAGCTCTGATGAGAGGTCGCACTCAGCCGTCCAAACTCAGCACGACAGCACTGTTCCTTCCCCAGCCTCAGTGCCTGACCCCCATCCCGGCCTGCTCAGACCCAGCCTCGGCAGCCACCAACCCTCCACGTCCCTCCACCGGCCAGCCCTGCTGGGCCAACCAGTCCCCTGCCCTCCCCCACGGCCTCTACCAGAATACGAGTCCCCAAGGCCCTTCCTCACCAGCCCCATCTTCTTCCCCATCCCCACAGCAGCCACTAAAGCTGCTGCCCAGGAAGGCATTCCCCGACCTCCAGAAGGGCACCCTTGGGCTGGCAGTCTCACCGGCCCTCACCCTGCCTTGTCCCCATAAGCCCTGATGACTCTGGCCTAAAAGTCCGGCTCCGCCCCAAGTGGCCTTCTCGTGACAAAGCTGTCCTGCCGTGAGTCCCCTGGCACAGCCACCTGGGCGCCGGTGAGATGCCTCCTTAGGCTGTCCAGGCTGAGCTGCCCAGGCAGGGGTTGACAGTGACGAAGGCTACGCACAGCCTGACCCAGAGCCCTCCAGCCCCGAGATGCAGCCACCTGCCGCCCCAAGGGAACTGAGTCCCTGCCCTGTCATAACAGAGAAGGCCAGTCCCCCAAGAGGGAGCCCCACAGCAGCATGGGGCCACCAGAACTTCCCCCAGACAGACGCCACCCGCCACCCACCGGCCAATGCAGCACCTCCGACGACGGCAGCCCGTGAGCCAGGGAGCCATGGTGCTCTGTGGGGCCACATTGCAGCTCAGAGAACACAGAGCAGGAGCTGTAATCAAGGGCATGAATTTGCCACCAAGACTTCCCATGGATTTGCACGTTCCCACGTTTGTTCAGCGAGCACATGCAGACGCCTTGTGAACTCCAGGATCCCCAGAACGCCACCTCCCCAGCTCCTACCACGTGTGGGGTAGCCAGGCTACCCCTTCCTGACCCTCCCAACAGGACATTCTACACACAATACTGCTTGAGAGGCAGTCTCGGATGCCTCAGGCTCATGCCAGCCAGGCAGAGAGGGCAGCCTAGCAGCCCACACACCACAGGGGACCGCAGGCCAGGGCGGCACGGGCCCCATCAGGCCTAGGGAGTTGATGGCGGTGCCAGGGGAAGGTGCGGAAGGAGCCTGGTCCCACCATCACCCATGCCTCTCAGGGCCACAGCCCCAGCGCCTCCCATCCAAACCAGCCCTGGACCTACTGGGCTTCCCGGACCATCCTCACTCTCCTTCAACACCCACAAGCTGGCACCGCCTGGGGCCACCCAGAGGGACAACTCAAGGTCCCTGTTTGGCTTGACAAAGAACCAGCTAAGAGATTTCTGGATTCACAGAAAAAAAAAGACACGAACGTTTCCTCATGGGAGATACCACATTAAGTGTGTGGTTGGAAAGACTGCTGTAAGGGACAGTCAAGTGACACAGGTGGCACCCTGTAGGTTACCCTGACCCAGTCGGGGGGGGGGACAGCAGTGGGCTCTGGCCACTGCAGCAGACAATGGAGGACCCGGGGGCCAGATGCTCCCAGCACAGAGTTTTTGCCCACCAGAGGACCCTGGCACTCTGACCAGGCACTGACCAGTGTTCCCTCGAGCAACACAGTTCAGCCACAGAACCCGTAGAGCAGCCCCTGCAGCCTCCACCACCTCCTGGCCACCCTGGGCCCTGAGCCAGGCCTGCACCCCATCAGCACCACCTGCATGGAGCCCTCTCCAGCCCCGAGTGGAGTGGAAAACAGGTTCTCCTGGAAGGAGAGTCACCCGAGGTAAACACCTCACAGGGCACACGCTCTGACTTGGGCACTGCATGGGCACAGCTGGGCACAGAGCACTGCAGGAAGCCTTCTCAGCAACACTCGTGGTGCCAGCCATACACCTCCTGGCTCTGGGATGGCACCGTCAGCTCAGGCCAAGTCGAACTCTGGGAGCGCTGGCCACAGGAAGTTAAAAAGGCAATCAACAGTCAGGGGAGAAAAACCAGAAAAACTGGCAGGCTGGTGGGGAGCCCGGTGTGGCTGGACAGCCACCTCTGAGCCCCAAGGGAGTGAGAGGGCTTCTCTAGCCTGGGCCCGTTTCCTGGACAGCTGGGCTGCTTCTGCCCAGGGTTCCCCAGCGAAGATTTATTCGCAGAGTAGCTGTGAATAACGGCTGTCTGCTGGATAACCGAACCTCACACTACACATGTCCAAAGAATGGTGGCTCCTGACCCCGGGGGAGGCAGACAGGCCCAGCCTGGCTGGGGCAGCTCAAGGCCACAGGATTGGGCCCAGGCTCAGCCCACTCAGCAGAGGGACAGGACCAGCCTCCGTCCTGTGTACCCCGGGCCAACCCTCCCCTCCCCCACTGCCACATCCTCAGGTTAATGACAAATGTGTAGAAGGGAAGACCCCACTCACTGACATCCCCAACCACACGCCCCCCTCTCAAAACTAATCACTGTCCTCGTCAAAGCTGACAGGATGAAGTGCACGTTGGGGACATGGCAGGCACCCCAAAAATGGCCGGGCAGGCAGACGAGGCACCATCAGGAGTGACCAGATGCGGCCCCCAGTGCATGTACCTTCCAGAGCTCTGTAGACGACCCACAGACAGCAGGTGCTCAAGGATGGGTGACAGAACCACAGACAGCAAAAGGCGTCTGCGGAGCCGACAGCACCAACCAGGAGCCAAGCCCAGACCCCAAAACGAGGTGACCAGGCCTGGGCCGGCAGGGGAGACCCGGGAGGCCTGGTGCTGAGGCCCCGGGCAGAGCCATGCCCAACAAAGTTACAGGACACAGAAAGGGGTCCCACAAACCGCAGCTGCCATCCTCAGCTGCAACTGCAAATAGAGTTCTGCCACGGTGCTGCACCAACACTGCCCCAAGTCGCAGCTGGAGACGCAGGCGCGCAGAGGCCACCCGCTGACCGGGAAAGGCCGGGACGGCCGAGGTCACTGCGCTAGCTCGGCGGGGACAGCCGTGGTGCGGGCCCAGCCGCCAGCGCCCTTTTGTCCCCGAGGAACGTGCGCTCCTTGCCGAGCTCCTTCACAAACGGTGCAGAGGACTCGCGGGGCTCGGGCTCCACGGGGCTCCACGGAGCGCCCTGCGCACCCGCCGCCTCGGCCGGACTCCGGGCCCTGTCACCCCGGCTCTCAGGGTTTCACCTCCCCGGACAGCGCGGCCGCCCTCCCTCTTCCCCACTGGAATGGAATTCTGTCCAGGCAATCCCGGAGACTACGGCAGGGGCCCCGGCCCCGGCCCGGCTTCTAGACCCCGGCGCCCTTGCAGGCGGCTCCCGGGCAGAGAACGCTGCGGCCCCGGCCCGGGGCTCAGGCGCACGGGCTCTGCCTCTGCAGCCGACTCGTAGGTGCGGGCAGAGGCTCCGCGGAACGGCCCGGGCCGGCCCAGAACGCGGGCACTGCAAGATGGCGATGCCCACGGGCCCGGCGCCCGCCCAAGCTCCCTGCTTCCGCAGCCCGCGGGGAAGGCGCCCCAGGACCAGGGCAGCACCAGGCACGAGCGGGCGGGGGCGCCGGGCCGGTCGGGGACTTCGCGGGGACGGAGACCCCCGGGCCCTGCCGCGTCACCGCCGGGGACTGCGCTTTGGGCCCGGTCCGAGGGTGGCGGCGGCCTCCGCCGTCAGACCCGGCGCCCGGGCCCGTCCCCTTCCCCCACAGCGCGCCGCCACCGTAGCCGGCGGCCTCCGGGCGGGCGGCGCGCGCTCCCGCGAGTGGCCCCGGGAGCGCGCGCCGCAGGACGTCCCGAGCTGCGCAGGGCGCACCCCACACCTCAACCCCGCAGGCCCAGCCGCGGGGTCATGACCGGGGACGGGGTCGCGGCGGGGGATCGGGACTCAGGGGGCCGTCTCGGGTCCCGCGGGGCTAGGGCCAGTGGAGCCGGGGATCCGGCGGGGCGGCCAAGAGGCCCGCAGGCCCCTTTGTGTCACCTGCGCGGGCCGCGGGCGGGGCGGGCGGGGCGGGCGGACGGCGGCGCTCGCGCACGCGCACCGGCACGCAGCAGTCCGCGCATGCGCACCACCCCTCCCGCAATCCCGCCCCCGGTCGCGGCTACGCGCGGGCGCTGACGCGCACGCGCACTCGCACACAAAGCCGGCGGTCTGCGGGCGCGCGCTCAACCCGCCCCCGCGCCCCCCGCCCCCCGCCCGCGCGGCCTCCGCCCCGCCCCGCCCCCGCCCGCGGCCGGAAACGCGCGCGCGCGCGGCCTTACCCAGCGGCAGGCCCTTGTTGAGCAAGTGCGAGCTGCCCATCGAGAGGCGCGGGCGGCCGCGGGCCCCGACCACTCCGGCGCGCTCCGCCGCCGCGAGCCCGGCGCTTGGGGCGGCCTCGGCGCCGTCCGCTGCTCCGCCCGGCCGCCTGCGCCCGGCCGCCGCCGTGCCGAGTCTCCGCCGCGCCGCTGAGCCGCGCTCGGACGACCGCGCGGGCGGGGACACGGCGGCGCGCGCGGGCGGGGCCTCGCGGTTGGTCTCCTGGTTCCCGGCGCGGGCGGCGGGCGGACTCACGCGGGCGGCTCAGGGCCCGCCCGGCCGGGGCGCGGCCACGGGGCGGGGCGGGAGCCCGGCGGGAAGCCGGTCGGGGCGGGAGCCCGGCGGAGCCCCGGGGCCCGGAGTTCGTGCGTTCTCAGCCGCCCGTCCCCGCGGAAGACGGGCAGGGGCGGGCCGCAGTCGGCGCCGCTGGCGGGCGCGCCGTCCGCCCCGAGGCCCCTGCGGGACGGCGCCGGGCCCGGAAGCCGAGGCAGGGCCGCCCACGTCAGCGCCCGGCGCGGCCCGATCGGGAATGGCGCTGCTCCGCGCCGGGGCGCCGCGCTCCCTCCCCGCCCCTCCGGCCGCCGCCTCCCGCGCTCGCGCCTCGCCCTGCGGCCTGGCCCTGCGGCCGGTGCGCGGCGGGGTCCGTGCGGTCCCGCTCTTTCCTCGGCTGTCCGGGGTCGCCTCCACCCGGCCCTGGATTTGCCGTCCGAGAGCCGGCCGCACTCGGGGCCCGGGAGGAGACGCGCGCTCGCCCCGGTGCCTCCCCCGCCCGGGGACCCCGACGCCGGGAGGGGCCGCGTCCTGCCAGGCCCGGGAAGCTCAGGGCTGGAGAACCCCCTCCTCACCCCGTTTTTCTTTAGCAAGAGTGGGGTTTGCAGCCAACCAACGTCCTGGCAGCTCAGCTCCTCTTTCCCGTTAGGGGTTAATCTCAAAGCCCTGCCCGCTGCAGGGGACGTCCCCACCCGGGCCTGCTCCCCCAGGGGCTGCCTCTGCAGACCCTCCAAGGGGCCCAGGGAGAGTCCTCACGCCGCGAGTGGACGCTTCCCTCCGCCCCGCGGGGAGGGCCTCTGTGCGGGGCTCCTGCGCGCACTCAAGTGTTTGGATAGTTGCGTAATTTCAGATACAACGGCATGGATCCTGCATAATGCAGACTCCTCTCCGCCGGAGGCACCTGCTGTGGTCCCTGAGGACGCGTCCTGGGCTGGCCTGAGAAGCTCAAGTTTCCCCGCTGATAGTGCTGGGGCCGTCAGCCAGGCCTGCCCTGCGGGCCGCTCCGTGTTCTCTCTCAGACGCGGGCTGCCGAGCTGTGGCCTGGAGGAAGCCTGGCAGGTGTCACCGGAGTTTTGGAGCGGGTGGGGCTCTGCCAGGGAAGCCCAGTGGGAGTCATGAAGAAGGGAACAAGTGTGGAGCCCTCGTAGGGGTAGGGGCAGTCCTGCAGAGATCTAAGAAAAGAATATTCCAGAAAAGTGAGCAGCAACTTCCAAGGCCAGGCATGGGTGCGGGGCACAAGGGGCCGCAGCTGGAGGGGCCTAGGTGAGGCTGCCGGGAGGG